TCAATTTGTTGATGATTGAATTCTGAATCTACACTTGACAAAATACACACAAATCTTCTGTTCAGATTACATTTCAAAATGCTTCCTTATGTACAGATTTAGAGTTAAGCAAAACACACATTCAGAAAAATGATTTAAACTGAAAAAATTTATTCCTCAAGCAGCTCACAATTTTGCTATTGATAATTTACACCAGGTTAAACAGATATGGTGGTGGTAGTTATAGCTACCAGTGGAACTAAATTATTCAGATTTGCATCAGTGTAAGGATTTGAAAAATTAGGATTGGATAAACCCTGGCTTATGCAAAGAGTTTTATTACCTGTAGTTTCTGTTGCTAAATCAGTATGTTAGGAATGATCACATAATATTTTCATTTTCCCTGACTCTTAATCTCGACTAGCACATTTATTCCAAAGCCATCACTTTGCTGTAGAGCAACATAAATGCATCTAGAATGGTTTGGTACAACTAACTGCCCCACTCTCTCCTAAAACTAAAACTTTAACTGAGGGGTCATTTACTTGACATATGTAATAGCATATTTAACAAGTCCAACATAAAATTACTCTTTCAACAGTATGTATAATCTTCATCAAATCAACTGAAAAATGTCCTAGAGTTGAGCTGAAGAGAGGCTATCAAAATTCTTGGGAAAAAAAAGAAAGAAAATTGGAAGCTTTTTTCCCGCTTAAAAAAATCCCAAGCTTATAGTTCAACTCTCTTGAATCACCATTATTTAAAAAAAAAAAAAAAAGTACAATATAACCAAAGGGCTGTATCTTACATACAGCACATGCTATCAGCACCAATATAAAGACAAATGGTACTGTAAAAAATTACCAATAAAGAACAGAAATATTTTATCTTTAAATTTTTTGTCACTGCCCATACTTGAAAGCAATTAATTGAAATTACCTGTAAAAATATATCAGAGTTTGAATGTAAATATAATTTACTCTGAAAAAAGTTCACTAACTATCAAAGGTACATGCACAAAAAAGTAAATAATTTTTTCCAGATTTGGTTTCACTGCATATAGTGTTTATGAACTCATTCTGGAACAGTGGATGTGTTTACTGTGAACCATGTATGTCCACTTGTAAGACTTACTATAACATAACTGCTTTCTGTAATTTAATTACTTTGAAAGATCTGTTGGTAGTTTAGTCTTAAAGACAAGTGCTTAGACAGAAGAAAATTCAGTGTGGACTCTATGAATGTGTTTCAGATAGTTGAAGCACATAAGAAGTTTTTTTTAGAGAAAGAGTAGTATTAGCAGGGAAAAACACACATATTCCCTAAAAAGCAAAACTTTTTAAAAAGTGGAAACAAAATATAGAGGGGAAAAATGGTTTCACCAATACTAAATTACTGTCTTTACATCCTATTAAACAAGAATTTGTCTCAATTACCCCAACATCTGTTGTAAGTAATCACTCTCCTGTCAGAACTGATCCTGGCCTAGAGATGATGATATGATGGTACAGTGGTTCCCTGCATGATGGTAACTGTCACAATATGCATTAGAAGCCAAAGAACAAGCTAAGCATTATTCACATTTCAAACAACTAGGAATAGAAGCAGTATACATCAAATGCCTTGTTTTTAGTAAGTATTTCTGTTTGCCTTTTTACAGTAAGCTGCAAACACTTCTGCTGAAGGAAGAGAAAATTTTTGCTTCTTTTCTAAAACAGCTTCTCCAAAGAAGTAACAAAAGAAAAATGTCAGAGCAGAAGCTGTGTAACCAAGAAGGAAGGAAGAACACTAAACAGCCAAAGTTACTGCAGAGAATTAATGCAGCAGTTAACACAGCAGAGAATTTTGAAATGCTGGTGTGGCCTTTCTCAGTGTGGAAAAGGAACAGGACACACAAGAATCAACTCAATAACTAAAAAGCAGAATGTAGACTATCTGCAGAAAAATATTTGATTCTACTAATACAAGTTAAACTCCAATTTTTCAAAAATTTGAATAATAGGAAAGACCAGGAATAAGACTTTAGAAGGAATTTATATTTCCTATCTTTCTTTGAGCTCAGTGGTTAAGTAAGGTCAGTCACCCTTGGCAAGGTCAGAAACACATAATAATGTACTATATTTGGTAGTTTTTAAAGAAATATGTTATGTAGGAGTCTCTGAAACATACATGCATCTTGTTATTAAACAGATGAACCTGCATAAAGTTTCTGGATAGTTACTGTTCTGTCAGTTCATTTAAAGAAACAAGAAAAAACCCAATTCTTTTCTTATGACAAACAAAGCTATATTACTAATATCTCAGTAGATGTGGTGAGCCACTGTGAACAGCCCACCCAAAGAAAAACCCTGTAGACTAGCAGACTACTGCTCCCCAGTGAGCAAGTACTAATGAACAAGTACTTTCTTTCCTCAGCAAAATGTATTTTACTCCTTCTTAGTGTATGGATCCTACAAATACCAAACATAAAAGAAGACATCGAAAAATACTCATAACTCTTGAGATTTTTTTTCACTTCTTGTATTTAAAAGCATGACATCATATTACTAACATCAAAAGGAAAAGACAGCAAAGGTAGTTTTGCCACCTTTCAATTTTGTTTACTTTTCTCAGTCAAGCGTAAATTTATTTTCTGGATTAAGAGTAAGAATCAAATCTGGTTTGCACATATACTTGCTGACACAGTATGTTTATCAGCCCCCGCCAACACATTTCGGAGTGTGGAGTCTTTCAGAATGATGAAGAGAAAAAAAGTATCTTATTCCCTCCCTCTCTCAACTGTGAAGGTTGTATGTAACCAAAAAGTACTAAGGACTACCATTGGAAACCAGTTCAGTAGCATTAAGCTGGCTTGCTACTTGGTGATACTAATCCCATTCACAGTGATTTGACAGTGAGACTGGAAGAGCATGAGTTCTTTACTCATTTGCAACTTCTCTAGAAAGTTAGTGTCAATGTTTAGATAGACCTCTTCTGCAGTGCCTTGATGTTAGCAACAGGAGAATAATGGCAAGAAAAAAGGAAAGCGCAGCCTTTACAGGGTGACAGAGAAAAAAACAACAAATTTTTTTGTTCCCTTTGTCTCACCTTGTGTGCCCTCTTCCCATTAAAATGAAGTAATATGGTCCTGCCACTCTTTGTGAAGAATTTCAAGAAAAGCACTAGGTCAAAGTAGGGTCTGGGGCCCTTCTAGAAAGAGCAAGACAAAACAGGAGCAAGAGTATGTGCAAGAGCAGAGGGCAGAGCAACTCCAGCACAACAGGAACTTTTCTTCAGGCAAGGAGGGCTAATCCTGGACAAAGACACATCTTTCTGTGTTTCTGCACACGTAAGGCTCATAGATGCTGTACTATCTCACCCAGGCCATAAAATACCTATGTGTATGGAGATTCAGTGTGTGTCCCAAATAAAGTACTGTGTGTAAGATGAAAATGTGACTATACCTTCAAAGAAATTAGTAAAATAGAAGATTAACTTAACATTCACAGTATAAATGCAATATTAAGTAGAATCAGATAAACATATATATGACACACAATTTAATTAATACCATATAATGTATAACATTTGCATATATGTATATAAATATTTAAGCAACTTAAAAGCTGGTGCATATTAAATACTTAAAAATCATAATCTCATTCTGAGAGAAACTGTCTCAAAAAGCTAATCTTTCTGCTTCTTACAACTTTTAAAATAGGTGGAATACTACAATTGCAAGTGTCCAACACATGGGTCCACTTCCCAATTAATTATTTGCTGGCTAAAGTGTTAAAATATCCTTGGCTTCACCTTAGACAATCATCCCAGCTGGTCATAATCTAACTGGAAATGGGCCAAAGAATCTCAGCTGTCAGTACACAACAAATACGTATGTTTTGTCCTTTTTCTTTCATTTACTTCACTTTCACATATCTGCATTTAAAAGAAGGAAAACTCAAAAATGCTGGTATCTCTTTTACTGTTGTGACTCTGTATACCTGGAGTGCAGGTGATAAGTGGGGTGATGAAGAACTCTTCCGTATGCGTTTATTGAAAACTGATTCATCCAGCCTTACTAAAGCTGATTCTATTATTCTGTGTTTCTACTTAATTTAACACATGTGTGAAAAAACACGGAATTCTTCTAAAGACAGAGCTGAAACAAATTTACTGATTGGTCATGTGTCTGCATAGAGTCAGGAACTATTAGAAAAACAGGAAAATATCCCTCAATGAAGTGAATGTTAGCAGTCAGCTTATAGCCAGTGTTAAAAGTCAGCTTGTAGTAAACCTGCAGATCAACAGGTGGAAAGCAAATGGCTTTTCTCATTTGCACATTACTTCTGGAAGAAGCCAAAGGGCAGCTGGGAGAAGGAACACGTGTAAACAAGGCAGACCTAATGATTTCCTAATTAAAAAGAAGATATTATCTTTCCATTAATAGATAACCTAATTGACCAAACTCCAGCAGTTTCCCCTCAGTACAAGTAAACATAGGTGCCTTTCCTCATTGAATTGCCGCATGTTTAGGCCAGCCACTAAGTTGTCAGTTCTGCTTGATTTGTTTGGATACTGTACTCTGCGACAGCTGTCAGAAATAATACATTAGAACAGCTGTTGCAGCACTTACAAAGGGACAGGAATTTTAATTGAACTGAATATTAATTGGGAGGGGGATATACTTATTTTTTTCCATCAAAGTTAAGACAGAAATATACAAAGAATGACAGATATCTTTAAGGTATTTGACTAATGTCTGATAAGCAAGGTTGGTTTTTGTTTTGACTGTATAACTTTGTGACAGTGGTTTCCACCATCTTACATGAACCACTCCATGCTTAAGAAAAGGTGTACTAAGAAGAAACAGTAAGTTGCATAAACAATCTTTTTCAAACACTTGCTGTGATCTAGAGAGGACCTCAAATTTTTTGAAGAATCATTCAAAAGGAAACTCATTCTGAGACCCATAGTAATGACCAGCTGAAAACAAAACTATTAATGATAGATGACAGCTAAGCATAAATGAATAATAAGCTTACTTTCAGCATCAGCATAGAGCAGCAAGCACAGAAGAACCACCACTGGCCTGACTACGTGCATCATCCGACAGTTTGGCACCAGCATGCTTTGGCAGCCTTGTTCTCACTGGCTTAGAAGCCACTGCGAGTCTGTCCAGTCTGAAATTTCAGATGAAGTATTTTCAGAGCCTGTGAAAAGATAAAAATACAATTAGCAAAAAGAGACCAGAGTTTTTATTTTCTTTTTTTTTTTTAATGCATTCACAGTTTGAGGCAAAACTATTTTAGAAGACAAAAGGGTAAAGCAGAAAAAAACATAATTAATATCAAGCTACTGGTATATATACAAGAAGATCCAAGACACAATATTTGTTAGCACTGTTAGAACACATTTCTTATTGTATCTTTACCACAGAATCAAGCAACTATCACATTCTGAATCTTTAGTTAGAACTACAGCATGTCCTAAATCAAAGAAACTGGTATGATGAGGCTTAAGACATCACTGGAACTCATGTTGCAAGAAGGTAATCAGTGCAGCTTAGATATCCATAACAAATCCATATGCCAACAGGGAGTTGATGCCTTGGCATCTAGTAAGAATAACACCACAAAATTTACTTCACAACGTATTACTAACATATTGCATTGTTCAGCAACTTTCAAAGGTTGAAATTCCTGTTGTGATTTCCTGCACATATCTGAATTATGCCTAATACAAAACCAGAAATCTGGCACTGAATAAAGGGCTGAGATCTCAATTCAATCCATCTAATTTATTACAATGTGTAATTGGATATGATACACTGGTAGAACTACAGCTCAAGTACCTCACTTAATAAAACAGTGTTTTATCCTTGTCCAAATATGCCACACTAACAGAAATTAAGGAATATAAAAATATTTTTCTTCCTCCATCAGGAAATACTAGAGATATCCCTAAGCAGCCTGACATTGGCACTAAAATAACGTGACATGCAATTATACTTTCTAAAGGATCTGCAACACGTAAGCTTTGTTAAGTTTGATTCTACCACCTTCATTACCACACAAGTGGCTTCCAAAGATGAAAACCAAGAGGGCAGAGAAAAAAGTATACTAATTATTATTCCACTAAATAGATCTTACAGCTTTGTGGGTGGTTTAAAGAGCCCATTTTCAGTACAGAGAAATGCTCAAAAGAATTACTCAAGGAAGAAAAGACATGAACAGCTGGTAGAAATCTACACTACGTTACAAATCTCTTTTGTAAAACTATCTTTTGAATCAGCTACTGCTATCAAAAAATACAAGTCTAAGAAATCTTCATAGGCAAAATGCTAAAGGCACCAGCTCTCCCCTTTCATCGCTACCATCTTCATGCCAGCATTTCAAATGACAGCAAAGTCCATGAGACACCAGTCCTGTCGGACTCAATTTGTGTCTGTGCAAGCGTATCAGAGCCAACTGCTGTGTAATGATTCCAATACTATCACAAAGATGGAGATGCATGAAATGTACTTCCAAGGAAGAGGTGATTTTTATTTTGCTTTTTCTGGAATGCAGGAGTTACAGGGGAGCCCTGAACTATCTCTACAGGCAGCTCACTTAAGAACAAAACTATCTTTTCATTAGTACACAACCATACTTGCTGATGTGTGAAGGTGAACAGAGAAATATAGTGGGTACTAAGTACTCCCTTACTCTTTTCAGGGAGGAAGAAGAGAGGTAACCATACTGATAATTAATAAGGGGAGCAGAGAAGTGGTAAAAAGTGGTGACCACTTGTTTTACACAGCAGTTTTTTAATTGGGGCACATTGTTTTCATTTCAAGCACTCGCATCAAAATATTAAATGTAGTAGCTAACAGGAAAAATATTACTGCTGTCTGCTTGGGGAAAGAAGGAATTTAAAAAATTTTATGATCCTCATACGTGAATATGCAGTTATCCTCTATAACCTGTCTGCAAATGAAGGGATGTATCACAAAACCTGGCAAAGAAAAGAATAAAATAGAGCTTTTTTTTTTTTTTTTGGTTTGGTGTTTTTGTTTTGGTTTTTTTGGGTTTTTTTTTGCGAAATCTCATTCTAAATGCACATACAGCCACTTGGGAATACTGCACTCTGTGTCTGCTTTGAAGGTAATATTCATTAGCACTCAGGTCATAAAATGAAAGCCCTCAATATTCCCTTTCTTTCGTATTTCTGAGATTCAGGGCTTTAGCTAACCTGATGAAAACACCAAAGTTTCCACGACACCCTTTGCTTGTTATTTGTTCTCCCTTTTTACCTGCTTAGGTCTTTGAGCAAACTTCCAGTATTCTCGCTCAGGAAAACATAAGCACTAGAATAAAACTAGTGGTTGAGTCGCTTTTCTTTCAAGTTGAAGATACGCTGTTAATGGAAGCATGCAGGTGATGGGCTAGTAACATGAAGAGAAGCAAGCCAAGGGACTGTCAGGTACTGTCAAGGTTCTCAAAAAAAGTCTTCCTTTGCTTTACTCAAAAGGATAAAAAAATCTTCACACCCTACCACTGACAACTCAACCAACAATGATATCATATCATGTGGTATGTAGGTCTGTACTTGGCTTATCTGTGAAAACTAACATGAAGACTCAATTCCTTTAAAGGACTAAATGAAATTACCAAGACAACTATCAGCTTCCACATCAAGCCACCTTAGTAGTTCCAAAGTAAAAACCTCATCTAAAGCATTATTTATTCTTAAAATTAAATTAGGTTCCTTTCCTTTTCTGTTTCCTTCTGATGATGGTTCATTACATCCTGACTGTGGTATCAAAGATAGTGAAAACACAAACAGTATTTACAGCACCAGGTTACACTAGCCTTGTCATCAGAGGACCAATACTTTCCTTGCAGAATTAATCCTGGGTAGGTACTCTCTTAGAAACCCCTGCTACAACATTCACGCTGCACCAGGGCAGAAAGATGGGACTTCCCCTCGGCAAACGATCACAATAACTACAGAGGTCAGCAGCTCTTTGGAAAAAAAATCTCTTTATGAAGCTTTAATAAAAGCTGTTATTATTTTAGGTTAAGCGCCGTATAGCTGCTGTATTAAATAATCAAAAATTACTCTTCCAGTATCTCTATTGGAAATTACCCTCTCAATATCTTTAAAAGAGCTATCCATGAAACTAGATAATACATCTAACAATAACACTGTACTAATACATCTAACAGTAACACTGTAAGTAAGAGTACAGATTTTCCCTGATTAGTGATATCTATTAATAGGATCAGTTAAAGCACAGGTGTGCAGCTCTCCATAGTGTTCAATGCAGAGACAAAAAAGAAGTCTTCTCAGCAGGATCACTGCAGATGATAGTACCCAGGCACAGGCATGTGCAACAATTATCCTAAAAAGGATCAACCGGGTGAATGAAACATCTGAACACTGAAATGCTTCCCTGCAGTCTGTTTACTTTAGCAAAAATAATCTTTTAGGTACTGTCACGCTACTCACAAGATGGCTCCTGTTCCAAGACAGTTATAGGAAATGCACACCTGGAGGCAAATTTTAGAAACAAAAAAAAAAAAAAAAGAAAACACTGATTTTTTTTTTTTTTTAATCACCTTGTTTTCTCATGCATGAATGTGCATTTAAATGCTTGCTAACACAGATATTCAGCTCAGCAGGGAAGATTTGTCAGAAAAGACTTGAACATGGACAAAAAAGAACTCATAACACATGTAAGGAGCCCCACTGACAAAAATACGGAAGCCAACAGTAACTTACAAGTTTGAAAGAAAGAGATTATTAAGGTATGAGAGCTCATTTGTGCTACAAACAGGATTTCTGGCTCAACTTTTCCAAAGTTTTAAATTGTGTAGAGATATGATTTTAGTTCATGGTCATCTCTGGTTTGTCTCAAGGACTTCCCATAGAAACTGCCTATATTTCTCCATAGGAAAGTAACTGGATACACCTTGTATTAAGAAACCCACCAAAAATGATGTTTCTCTAAGAAAACATGGAAACAAAGATTAAAACAGAAGACTGTGCTGAAATTCTGTTTCTACGCTTCATTCATCACATCCACAATCCTGAAGTATGCCCATCTCAAAGCCACATATTTCTAATACCATGGAAATGGAAGACAAGAAATACAAATAAATGAATTTAAAATATTCCTAGAACTAGTGATGTAAAGGGTGCAAATACTTCCTGTATTTGCATATCAATCATGACCCCTCCTTAAAAAAGAAGGAAAAAAAAAATTCATGGAAAAATCTTGTCTGCAGAAACTAACTGACAGCTGTCTCATTACTAGAAAGAACAGAAAACAATGCATAAAATTAATTCTCATAAGCTCTTTAATCAAAATCAATTCAGAAATACTGCTCGGTAAAACAATGTCTTTTAAAGAGAATTAAATTTCTTTTCCAAAGCAATAAGGGCAACTGGCACAATCAGAAGTTCCACATTTTACTTGATCTTTTATTGATTGAACATGATAAATGTTTTCGTAATTGACCTGCTGGAAAAGTTATGTGTTTCATTATGCTTTTATTCTTAAAAATCCAAAATACAAACACATGATTAAGGAAATTTGAAGGACAGCTGTGGTGAGTGTTCAAAAGTTTAGTCTTATCACTCTCTGGATAACAATTCACCCAAATGCTTGTCTATCCTTGCTGAATTTCTCTGTTAGAATTACTCCAAGATGAGAGAGCACCCATCCTAAAACAGTACGTTTCTGATGTCATGCAAGTGTTCCAACTACATCACTATAAAAGCAGAAATTGTTTGCAGAGCTAGGTGGAATTTTGATTCTACATTGTAATTCTATTTTATACTTCAACCAAGATTTCTCTGTTACCATGAAAAACAGAGTAGTTTTTTGGTAACTGAAGAAATAGATTAAATTGTTTAGTGAATAAATAAATGACAGAAAGGTACCTTGAAATCACATCACTAGGATGTTTTTCTTGTATAGAAAGTTGTTTAAAGGTTTCTGGTTTTTTGCTTACAAAAAGACTTATGTTCATATGGAATCTTAAACCATGCAGAGAAAACCTTGCCTAGCCTAATGTTTATACTTCTGTTCCATTCTAAATCATTAATCAAAATACCAATTATAAGCTGATAGGTGTCTCAATGCTCATCAACTTCTGCCATCTCACTCACTTCTGCAGATCATAGGAACTTTTCTTATGCAGAACATGATGCAGAAACAAATCAT